GTTGCTCATTACAGTGGTGAGCTGACTGTGAGTGCTGCAGAAGACAGGTACAGTATTCAAACTACTTTGACGCACTGCCAGAGCTGAGGGGCTGCAGGCTCTTGCTCCATTGCATCAATTTCATAACTTACAGGATAATGGTTATATGCCACTGTATGCTCAGTTAAAGTACATACTTTTTCAGTTACAGCATGTGGCTGATAAAACAATGAAAGCAACTGCACTTTCCCTCAGCACATGAAGCTGTGTCGCCTGCTCCTGGCAGGTTTACAGGGCAGCTTTTAACAGAAGGCAGAAGCTGATCTGTTGCAATTCCTTACTCTCCTAAGCCCAGCTTTTGAACTTCATGGGAAAATGTGGCCATTCTCCTTTTGCTGTCTACTTAGAAGTATACCTGGACTTGTGCAAGGCATTTTACACTGTCCCACGCAATTTCCTTGTCTCTAAACTGGAGTGGCATAGATTTGATGTTTGCACCAGTCAATGGATAAGGAATTGGCTGGATGATTGCAGTCAAATTGTCATGATCAATGGCTCAATGTCCAAGTAGAGTGGTAGAGTGTCCCTTAGGGTATTGGGACCGATCCTGTTCAACATCCTTGTCAGCAACATGGAAACTGGGATTGAGTTGCACCATCAGTGCAGCAAATCCCAATTAAAGTCCACTCCAACCCAAATCACTCTATGAGTCTATGAGATCATGATAAACTGACTCTGTGCTTAAAGTTCAGTCTTAGCTGGAGAGACATGAAATTTCTCAATACGGGTCTTAGAGAGTGAATCAAAGATACTACTGTTCTACCTTTTATGGAAGAATTATTTCCTAAATGTCTTTGTGATAATAACTTGAGCCCTTTTTCCGTAGCATATGTTTTTCTGAACTATTGGTTGAGTACCTTACATATGGCCAATGAAACTTGTGGAGCCTTGTGGGGAGTGTGGCTCAGAGCACCTAAATTAGATACCAAAACCAGGTAAGGTAGAACATCTTCCTGGTGCTTTCAGGTTTGCACTGCCTTTTATGGAAAGCTAGATGTTGTCTTAATGTTTTGACTTGGAACTAGGGGAGTTTACTGCCTATTTTTTATCAACAGAGATAGGGCTGCAGGGCTTTGTAAGTTCTCAGTAAGCTAATTGCGTCTTCCCACCTTAACAGGTTAAGAAGGCAATTTCCACAGCACAGTTATAGTGATTACTAGTTATTTCCTGCTAATATACTGATAACTGGTTGACTAGAAGCACTTAAAAGATTCTTCTCTGGTGTTTGGTAGGCACTTGCAGGGTCTATGAATGTCTTGTCCGATTAGAACAGAAACCTGAGGCAAAATGCACCAGGATAGCAAAGTGAGCACTGTAGTGGTAAGAGGTAGACAGTACCTTCTTTTTTTAAATTTTAATAGAGTAAATGTATCATCGGGGCATAGATGAATGTGTGCCCTAATTGTGTTGGCAGGGTGGGGGAACTCTGGCCTATGGCATGTCTTTTAACAAAAATTACTGCAGTGTTGTCATAAAATTGATTGGAAATATTTTTCCTCACATTATTCATGGGATGTCAACAAGTATGCAAATGTGAAAATTTAACATATGTCTCCGTGCTGCTTTTTCACGGTTTCTCACGCCAGTTTAATGAGGAAAAACTGTCTTTTAAAATGCCACTTCAAGTGCAAGTCCTTTGGTTTTGAAGACTGTCTCACTATTATTTTCTTAGTCTTCTGCTGAGATGTTAAACAGTTTATTCATTAAATATATGCACTTGGACTGTTGCCTGATTTTTATTTTATGCCATAGTTAACGTGCATGTATCAGGTAATCCTCGCTTTTTAACACAGCATTGCGTCTTTTGGGGGTTTCTTTGCTGTCTTTCCTCAGAGCATCAGTTTCCATTGATCCTTTTGCTGCAAATAACACAGTGTAAGGCATTATTATCTTTCTTTTGATCTCTATGGTAAATGTATTTATTTCTGAATGAAGCTATAACATTGTTAACTTCTGTAAAGACTTCCTGGGAGCATCATAACCAGGGATGGGCCAGTGGTTTAGATCTGATAAGACCCAATCAGGTTATTTTGTGTTGTGCCTTCTGTTTTGCGTCTGTTTGTGGAAGGTGGTCCTGGCTTTCCTGTCACAGGAGCCAGGCAGTCCCTTTGCCAGCATGGTCCAGCTCTTGATTTACCATAGGAGGATCAACTTGGAAGCCTAAAACCTGGAATATTTATTATTCTTCTGAAATCTGCCATGTTTACTCCCCACGCTTAATAAACACAGTTGTTGGCACCATTTCATTTACTGCTAGTATGTTTAGACCAAGATGTAATAATGCATGTTAAAAAGTGTTGGAGAAGTTATAATTCTAACGATGGTTAATTAGCACATTCCATGTGTACAAGTCAAAGTTTTGGTGTTGTCTTTTGCTCAGTGTTGAAATTTCTTGGATTTTCTTTGGATCAAAAGAAGCATGACCAGCAGGTCAAAGGAGGTGATCCTGTCCCTCCACTCTGCTCTCATGAGACCTCACTTGAAGTATTGTGTACAGTTCTGGTGTCCTCAACATAAGAAGAACATGGAGCTGTTGGAGCAAGTCCAGAGGAGGGCCACAAGAATGATAAGAGGGCTGGAACACGTCCTGTATGAAGACAGGCTGAGAAAGCTGGGGCTGTTCAGCCTGGAGAAGAGAAGCTGCGTGGAGACCTCAGAGCGGCCTTCCAGTATCTGAAGGGGGCCTACAAGGATGCTGAGAAGGAATCTTCATTAGGGACTGTAGTGGTCGGACAAGGGGTAACGGGTTCAAACTTAAACAGGGGAAGTTTAGATTAGATATAAGGAAGAAGTTCTTTACTGTGATGGTGGTGAGGCACTGGAATGGGCTGCCCAAGGAAGCTGTGAATGCTCCATCCCTGGCAGTGTTGAAGGCGAGGTTGGATGGAGCCTTGGGCGATGTGGTTTAGTGCAAGGTGTCCCTGCCCATGGCAGGGGGGTTGGAACTAGATGATCTTAAGGTCCTTTCCAACCCAAACCATTCTATTGACTTGTGCTGATGCATTGCTGCCTGTGCCGTGTTTTGCTGGTAGACTCCAGGAGTCCTGAGATGAGACTCCCAAATCTGACTCTCTGTTTAAGTATTGTGCTGTCAATTTAGGAATGCTGGTGCAGTATTTGCTAAAGTTTTCAGCAGATGGCAGACCTATGAAGGTGGTATGCCTGCAACAAAATGGGCTTTGAGCTGTTTCACTTTCCTTTGCGGAGTAGAAAGGATATGACCACACAAATCCTTTTATCTGGACTGCATGTTTCATGTTTTGATAAGAACGAAAAAGGGAATCTCAGAAGACAAATTAAATGCTTTGAAGCATACTGCGTATCCAAGTCATCTTAGCTGCTGTAGAAAAGACCTTCCATTCTGCCTTTTACGTCCTTCTTAGGTCTTAGGTTTTGTCTACAACCATTTACTGCTTAAAAATTGAATGATAGTTGAACTGGGAAGAATTAAATCAAGAAGATGTGACTTTGTTTGACAGATGCAGTTGTGCTTTTGGGATGAGCGGCTAGAGAGTATGTGTAAAATACTGGAATAAAAAAGCGGATACGACACTTTTTAAAGTTCAAACTAAAACCAGTCACATGTTTGAATATATTTTTTTCTTTCAGTCTGTGGGAAAAAAGTACATTTTTACTTTTGAAGTTGGAGAGAGAGTAAAGTAGTGTATGTATTGCATGTACAGTGAAAACAGCTTCTGTGAAATGCCTGTCCTAGGTTTTAAGATTTCAGACTTAATAAGTTACTGCTGTAATTGCTACTCCGTCAGTGCCATGATGACAGTTATCACATCTAATGCTGCATAACATTTTGAACAGTAACAGGAAAATAGGTTCTCTGCATCTCTACTTTGTTTAAACTACATATTTTTGAATATGAATAGTGAAACGTTTCAAATAATAATAGCAGTGTATCACAGAGTGCATGAAAATATACTTTACTTCTTAAAAACAGTTCAGCTAGCAAATTTGAAAGACTCACAGCCTGACTTTTTTCTTTTTTTTTTTTTTTTCACAAACAGAAATATTTCATAGACAATTTCCAAGCATTATTATTAAATCATTCTTTTAAAATGAGATTTCATTTTAAAAGACCTGAAACATGCGGGCAGACTGGAGCCTCCCTGGGGTGTCAACTGAGGAATAGGGATGATTGCTTCTTTGGTTTTCTAATTCAAATCTAGCCTACATAGCCTATATCAAAAGAAATTGGTTGTTGTTATTGCTTCCCTGTTCTTTGGCTGCTGAACAGGGCTTCCCAGCTCAAGTTGTGGTGGGGAATCGTTCAGGAAATGAGTCTTCTTTCTGCAGTGAGATCCTTATGCTGCCTCTTTGGACTTAGTTGAAGATGTGCCTAGGTTATGCTAAAGATAACTTTTTTGGAAGCTCCTTTGGGAGCTGTGTCTTTTGTAACTGTGTTGTGATCTGAGCTCCTAGACACACAAGTCTGAAGTAATCTAAAAATCTCGAGAGATGTGGTTGTACTGCATGCCATAGATGGGATTACTTTCCCTGATGCAGCCCGAAGTTTGCATGTTCTTTGAATAAACACAGGCTATTGTTCAAGTGTGCTAATGGCTTGACACATTCCACATGTGAAAAAATTTCATCTGCAAAAATAATCAGTGTTGCTGTACGAATATATTGTATTCACAGTAAGCACACCATGGAGTGGGCAAATACAGAGCAGCAGTAGGTCAGTTGTTAGCTCACTGGGCACTTGCCCAAATACAATTAAAAATGTTGACATTAGGTAATTTGGGGGGTTAATACTAACTACTATTTAAACGTCTCTGCTTGCATTAACCTACATGCCTTATTTAAAAATTCTGGTATAGGAAATAGATTTGACATGTTCACTGTGTAGTGGTTTGTGAAAGGTAATAGAGTGCACCTTTGTTTCTGAAGAAGAAGAGCAAACAAATGCACAATACTAAATATTGTCCTTTTTATTTATTTTCCAGATTAGCACTGTATGTATATGAGTATCTGCTCCATGTAGGAGCACAGAAATCAGCCCAGACGTTTTTATCAGAGGTATGTTTCCCCACACTTTTTTTTCGTTATACAACTTTCCAGTGTGTGCAAGTAACTAAATGTACATGGGTCTAGAATAAGGAGCACTGACAACTTTGAATACCTGTTTACGGCATAGATTTCTGATTCTGTGGTAGCCAGTTTGTCATTTAACGTACTTTCACGTAACTATTTTTGCTGTGATTTGTTATCCCTGTTTGCTAACACAGATTAATCTATTTTCTGTAATAAATGTGCGTGTTAGAGAATGCATCAACAGTACTGTTTTTTTATGACCTTCTTATTGTTGATATCTTATATTGTGAATTATGTGCCCTTCTGAAATACACGATCCTATTTTACATCCTACTGCTGTACACATGCAGTTCTCATTCTCTTAAGCACTGCTAATCTGTCTGTGTATTCTTACTGTGCTTCCCACCACTTCTTTTCATCTGACAAATCAATTATGACTACAACCATTTAGGTCCTGTTTCTTAAAGACTTTCAACTGCTAATGGAGTTTTCACCTTTACACAATAGTTACTGTTTTTCACAGTCTCCCAAAGACTGCATACATCTTTTGAAGATTGAAGTAAACTATGTCTCCTTAGCATTTAATACTTAATCTGAGATACAAAGATATTATACACCAAACATATTGAGGTCTTTTGGGTTTACTACTGTTTTTAATGTTTATTTGATGAGAACATTTAAGATAATAAAAATAGTTAAATAGTGATTAGAAGTGAGGAAAAATAGGCAAGATGTTGTACTAGGAATGTTTGCTGCTTCAGCTGATGCTTCTCCAAAAGCTAATAAAATTACTGTGCTGTAGGTGGGAGAGGGGAGGAATGAGAACCCAGGGTATTGTTTGTGGTGTTCATAAAGAATGCACATAGCAGAGATAAGAAAGAAGAGTAGAATCATGGTGGTATCAGTTTATGGTAAAGTATGTTTTTGACAGTTGCGTTTCCATTTTGGTAAAGCCATGGAAAAATAAGAGAGAAAATAATGGAGAGTATAATCTTGGCTTTCCCAAAACAGCTGTCATTTGTAAATAAAACACTATGCAAGATTCGCTTTGCTCATTTTGTTTTCAGGATGTATTTGCAAAATGAGCAGTTGGCAGAAGCATAACTGGTGTGACATTGGGTTTCCAGAAAACATTCAGTACAGTGTCTAGAAACTTAGCTTCTAAAACTAACTCAGTCTTCGGTTATAGAGAAACTCAGGTTTGAATTCTGAATACGAGAATATATCGAATATTTCAAGTTAAGACTGATAGTAACCAAAAGATAGTAAACACTGGATAGGGACAAATAATAGAGTTGATATAAGGTGTCTGTTCGTTAGATTTCACGCAAAGCTGTGAATTTATTTACCTCATTCCTTAGCAGTGCAGAGGGGTAAATACTATACTGGCAATACTTGTGAATGGTTCTATGTTATCACTGATACAGAGAACCCTGGAAAAGATTACATAGGTTCTGGTTAAGAAAACTGTACACTAATGCAGCTTTAAGAAAATAAACTAAAATGCACAAGTTAAAGGGACAAGTAGTAAAAGAAGGTGAAATACTCCAGAGTAACTCTAAAACTGAATGTTCGGGTGTAAAAGCAGTAAGCATACATAAACTGAGCTATACTGAAGGCAGTGATATCTGTGTACGTGTAAGTGACAAAGACTAAAAGCCCTTCCTTTAAAGATCTGGCAAGGTATGTGTCTAAGAGTAATGGAACAAAATTAAGAAAAGGAAATTTTAAGTTGGGTATCATGGAATCTGCTACTAGATAACTTAGACATGGTTGTCCTAAGCAGTCCTATATTTTTGTAGTGCTCTGTATCTAGTTTGAATTTTGTAGGACTGATCCACAAGTTAAAGGGAGAATCTACTGTATGAGAAAAGGCTGAAGGAATTTTAGGTCTTTTCTTCCTGGGAAAGAGAAGACTCAGGGAAGACCTCATCACAGTGCTTCAGTACTTAAAGAGTGGCTACAAAGAAGACAGGGGCTTTCCCCTGTAAGGAGTCACATGGAGAAGACAAGGGACAACGGGTACGAGTTGTACAGGGAGGGGTTTCATTTTTGTTTACAGTGAAAACAATTGTTCACTGGAACAACCTCCTCAGGGATGTGGTAGAGTCCCAATCAGTGGAGTTTCTTGCAGGCCCCCTTTATGTGTTGGAAGACTGTTATAGGGTGTCCCTGGAGCCTTGCAGCCCAGCTCTCTCAGCCTGTCTCCAGAGCAGAGCTGCTCCAGCCCTCGCAGCATCTCCGTGGCCTCCTCTGAACATTATTAAACTCTTCTTATCCCAGGCCACAGGTTTTTTGCCTTTTTCCAGTTCTTCTCCCCATCCCACGATGGGGGTGGAGTGACTGAGTGGCTGCGTGGTGCTTAATTGCTGTCTGGGGTTAAACCATGACAGCCTTTTTTGGTGCCCAGCATGGGATGCCAAAGACTGTTGTGGTTTAACCCAAGTGAGCAACTAAGCCCCACACAGCCACTTGGTCTTCCCTCTCCCCAGTGGGATAGGAGAGAGAATCAGAAGAGTAAAAGTGTGAAAAATTGTGAGTTGATGTAAAGACAGTTTAATAGGTGAAGGAAAAATTGCACACTCAAGGAAAGCAAACCAAGGAATTCTCATAGAATCACAGACTGTTCTGGGTTGGAAGGGACCTTAAAGCTCATCCAGTTCCAAGCCCCTGCCACAGGCAGGGACACCTTCCACTAGACCAGGTTGCTCCAAGTCCCTGTGTCCAACCTGGCCTTTTGAACACTTGCAGGAATCCGTTCACCACTTCCCATGGTCAGGCAGTTCAGCCATCCCCAGGAAAGCAGGGCTCCATCATGTGTAATGGTGACTTGGGAAGACAAACACTATCACTCCGAGCATTCCCCTTTCATGTTTTTCCCCCCAGCTTCACATGCTGAGCATGATGCCATATGGTGTGGGATATCCCTTTGGTCAGTTGGGGTCAGCTGTCCTGGCTGTGTGCCCCCCAGCTCCTAGTGCACCCCCAGCCTGCTCACTGGTGGAGTGAGGAGCAGAAAAGGCCTTGACTGTGTAAGCACTGCTCAGCAATAACGGAAATGTGTTATGAACACTGTTTGCAGCACAAATCCAAATATAGCCCCATACTAGCTACTATGAAGAAAATTAACTCACTACCAGTAAAAGCAGCCACAATTCTCCTGCACACAAAAGGCTGCACCAGATGGTCTTTCAAGGGCTCCTACAACCTGAGCTGTTTGGTGATTCTATGGTTCTATGAGTCAGTGAGGTTTAGAAGTGCTTTGCTGAACTTTAAAGTACAAGGTGAGCTGTGCTTTGTGGTCGTTGTTGCCAACAGCCTTCAAAGCTTCCTTGTTTCCATCTCTGAAACACAGGGCCTAAAGCTCATCTAGCATTTTCCTGGATCTCTTGGTAACAGACCTCTTCAGTTTCTTGGGTGTAACTCTGGTATCTTGGTCTGCAAATTTACTTCCTTTCAGTAGACATGGCATGAAGTACTGTGTTGAAGTAACCCAGCAGCTGTATTGTATCAGTTTATTGTACAGTTGGCAGAACAGCAAGGGGCAAGCATGACTAGCTTTCATCTAAATCATGTCGTTGCTTTTGGGGGTTGAATGGAGCTATGCAGATGGGGTACACACTTTTTTTGAAACAAAAGAAGCTGTTCTGCTCCAGAATCTTTCCTGCAGTGTCACAGCTGCTGCGCTTTACTTGAGGAGCTAATCCTTATCCCACGCATTTTCTATCCTTGAAGTTAGGTTCTAACCTTGAATGAATAATTACATTAGCCTGGCTGGAGCAAGAGGGTGGGCATTTCCCAGTTAATCAGTCCCTGGCTATGACCTTAATCAGTACAGTTGTCAATGATGGCATTTTTCCTAAATTAATTCTTTATAAATCTTTCTTTTTAAGTCTCTGTTATCAGACAGAATGACATCTGCCATGTGAGACAGAAGTATGGGGGTTTTTTTAACTTGAAAAGCAAAACAAACCCGCTCCAAACAAGACCCAAATTTTGCATTCCCTTGGTGCTCCTTCTCTGAATGAATTTCTCAATATTAAATATGTCCTGTTAAAAAGCACTAGCATAAGACCTGTGAAATGCGTAATTTCCCCGTTAAGCCCTGCTTTGAAGAGAAGGATACTGCTTAGACATAGTGAGGGCTTTCTACACAGACATGATTTTTACTTGGAAGTGAATGGTTCTTCAACTTCATGAACCATATTTTTGTTTTGGTTGTATGCTGAATCTCTTCATTATGTTGCTTTTGAAGAGGTACTCTGTATTCCTGGTGATTAACGCAAGTCTTTCCAAGCCATTCCCAGCGCATGCGAGAAGCAATCATGCCTCAGAGAACTGTATTTGAAGAGTGTGTAATACCTTTGCAGTAGCGTTGGCTTTTATTTACATTTTTCATTTTTATAAATACTTTTATCTTCCAGTGCTTAAGCAGCAGGTTTTTAAAAGGTGCTTTTTATATATTAACTACCATTACATGGTGGTGGTCAGGTTAAGTGCCTTGCAATTGGATCATTCCGCGTTACCAACAGAAGTGATACTGCCTTGAGGTTACCTTTTAAAAATGTTTTTAAGAGACATTACTTTTGAATGTTTGCGTTTATATAATATATCAAAATAATACTAGGTTACTCGATGTGAGTATGAAGAACATTTTAAGGTGTACAGGCTACATATTCTCTTGCAAGCTATTGACAGAACTTGAATGTGTATAAATTTCTAAGGAATTAGATGTGGAAATCAAGTTGGAGTTCAGAATCAGAGTTTTATTCTATTTTGGAAAATGCCAGCTTTACCAGTGCCTCTGGCAGAATGAACACTATATCTGCCTTTTATAGTAAGCTTTTATGCATTTTTATAGATATGTCTTTAAATACCATTCATATTAAGGCTGTTTAAGCATTTAATTAAAACAATCCTCTCTCTGTCTGCCATTACTTCTATCTCTAGAGCAGAATATGGTTTGGGTTTTTTTAACAATTTTTTTTATTAACAAAATTGGACAGGAAATAATGCTATGTGTACTTGTAACTGGAGGAATTTGGAGTGTGTGCAATGCCCTGGTTTCCACCCAGTTCTAACATGAGACATTTTTTCTGTACAGTGTTGTGTGGATTAAAAAAACAGTTGCTTGCAACAGAGCTCCTTCAGCAGTTGCATGGGCTTTATTATAGCCCAGAGTATTGTATTTTGCAGTTCAGGACAAACTAATGACTCTGGCATCAATAAAATGGTTGCGTGATTATCTTTCAGACACAACATTTGGGAAGTGTTACAGAGGCGCAGAATGCTGTCACTTGTGCGTTATGTTGTTTAATAGGTTCACTGATTATCGAGAAAAGTGTGAAGTCAAGGGTAATAAGAGTTCTTAAATCGCATTTCCTTTGAAAACAGTGTTAAGCAAACCAGGCTTCCTAGGTGGAAAAGAAATCACAGCCAGTGTAGCTGTTCAGGAGGGGTTGCCAGCATAGACAAACCAAGCCAAACTAGCATTGTCACTGAGTGGTGGGAGAGTGAGTTACAGCCAATGTACCGCTAACAGTAGAGCACTTCTTGAGGATTGTAAACGGTGCCTGCTTTGGATGTGGAGGGAAGACTGCCACCTGCTGAATCAGTTACATTAGTTCTGTATTCTATGTTTTTCTTAGTTTTCCTGGGAAAATCTTTTCAATCATTTTAGGTGTACGCTTTAACACCTTTTTTTTTTTTTGTTCCATTGGTCATGCATTTTTGACCTTATAATAATGCACATCTCAGTGGAGTGATACAAAACATATTGTTAACAACATTATATTCAGAATCTAAGCAAAAATTATTCTAAAACATGATTCCTTAGAGTGAGAAAAACTTAGTATAAGCATCAGCTATATTAGTAGCTGTAATAAAGTAATATGGCTATTGAGATTGATGATGATAAAACCTTTCGTAACTACAGAACCTTTTCTTCTTTCCCTTTTTTGGTTATCTGCATGAATTATGTAATGCTTTTTAGTCACCATCATCAGAAATGCGCATCTCTGTTTTTATTGTTTTGTTTTAGATAAGATGGGAAAAAAACATCACACTGGGGGAGCCCCCAGGATTCTTGCATTCCTGGTGGTGGTAAGTATCAATTTTCTTTCCCTCTCACTTTCAGAATATGCCAGCTGCTGGTTCTAGCAGCTGGAGGCAAGAAATTCAGGTAAACATTGTAAAAGGAATGTGAAGATGAGGATCAAGAGCCAGTTTCTTGTTAAGGAATGAAAAAACAGAAAATTAGATATGGAAAAATATACGGATAATAGATACAGGAAAACACTGTGTAGTGTGCTGATAAGAAAGCCTCTTTGAAAGAAGGTGGCCTGCGTATCTTTCTTCACCACCTTCTGGTAAGTGGTGCATTTAAGAGATTATTCTACATATCCTAAATAATTGCATTAAAAAAACCCCAGTATATACAGAGACTCTGCATACAGATGTGAGTTTCCTCAGCCTTAGAGTCCACATTCTAGTCATGGGAATAGCATTGAAAGTAATTAACTGAACCCAAGCTACCAGCCTTTTTGGGAGGCAGCGTGCATTAGCATGGGCTTGGTGCTGCAGTGTCTGCATTTGCACAGTTTCTCTCAGCTCAGAAGATGGGTAGGCATGAGGATGACTTGTGATTTTTTTATGCGTGGTGGCATGGGCTTATATATACTGGTGTGCAGGGACACAACAGTCTGTGTGTGTAGATTCCCAAGGAGAGAAAAGTATTCATAGTCACTGCTGTTAAGCTGTGGTATTTATTACTTGTCACCTGATTGGAATATATCCAGTAAGCCTGTGTTTGAAAGAATTACAGAGAATATGTCCAACTGTCAGGAGTACAAGAACGTACCACTTTTAAAGGGGTCCCATTTGAACCCAAGTGATTTGTACAGCTGCATGGAAGGTGTCGTATTCTTCATTGTCCTTTCTTTCACAGCTTTCAGCTAAAGTGATGGAAACCTGTCTAAGAAGAGTGTGTCCCTTGTATCTCTGACGTCTGCATTATCCTTAATTTTGCTTGTCTGCGTCAGAGTGCTGAAATTGCCCACAATTCCTTACTATGGTGCTGGACTAAGTTACAAAGGATTAAGTCAAAACCAATAAAGAAACACTCTGAAACTCCAGCATTTCCGTATTTTATCCTTTCAGTTGTTCTTTTGTACACATAGTTTAATTCCAGAAACTTTGTGTTGGAACTGATATGTGTATAACTATTTGAAGGGCAGAAAGACCAGTGGGAGTACCATAATTTCCTTTCACTTACAAGAACATAACCATCTATTTCCTACTCTTCTCCACACCTGTTTCTCTGGGAACTTTTGTTTAAAGCCCAGTATCGGACCTTGGAAGAACTCCCAGTTTTCTCTCCAGTTTCTTGCCCTTTCATGTTACTACAAATCCATCCCTTCCCACGCTTTGTGGAAGTTAATTGCAGCAGTCATCAGAGGGACGAGGTTAAATACAAAATTTCAGTAATATACTTTATACACTTAAACTTTGTATATTAGACTTGCTTCTTGGTCTGTACTACAGTGGTGTTAAAGGAACACAGCACTGCTTTCCTCACAGAATTAGATATCAGGACTTGACTTCTCATAGATGTTTTACAAAGCTAAATTTTTTCATGGAGGCAAGTGTTTTCATCCCTTGGCAAGGAAGTGGTATGTCTGTTTCTATATATGAACATGCGTGTGTGGTGTGCATACACCATAAAATCTGTATGAGTATTACAATGATCTTCTCACCATCTCTGTATCTTGTTAACTTGCAGTGTATTTTGGGATCTCTACTGTGCAGCTCCAGAAAGACGAGAAACATGTGAACATTCAAGTGAAGCAAAAGCCTTTCACGACTATGTAAGTTTTGTGTCTTTACCACACTTTTATTAATTGTATGTATAAATACGATAGAGAAGTAGTTCTGCATTACAGTGGTTCAAAAATGTAGGTGTCAGCCATATTTATAATTTCTCAGTTTTCTGGAATGCCTTAGGATTAGGACTTCCTAATACTTTGATTGCCCAGCACCGTAATAACTCCTGGAAGCCACCTCAGAGATCACAGTCCTGTCCCATGTGCTAATGAAAAATGAAGAATGTTCTTCTGTCCCCCACATCATGAACACACGAGACTGGTGACAAAGGTGCAGGCAAATAGCAGCACAGATGGGTCCTGTGCAGATATCTGTCCTTTGTTGGTGCTAAAGAAAAAGCAGTTCAGCAGATGGAATTGATCTTCTGGCTTCTGTTGTGGTCATACTGACTGCAGGTGTGATTGTTCTTCAGATACTTTTGTGTCCTGAAGTAGGTGTTTTTCATCAGCATAATAAGCACTTATGTGCGATAGAGTAAGTTAAATGCAAAATCATCTGGTCTGAAAGAATTGGGGGAATAAAGGGCAAAATTATTACACCAGTTTTGATGCTTTTGAAACTTAGTTCAAATCCCAGCAGAGAGTTTGCTGACGTTTTGCCTGCAAGGACTAATAATAATAATAATGATGATGATTAATAATAATAATGATTATGATTAGGAGGAGGTTGTTGATGATGACATAAATAAATAAATAAATAAGTAACTCTAGAAACTAGGGTCTGAAACATTCATTCTGCTTCTCCACTCTCATAAGTGGAGATCACCAGAAATGATGTAGGACTTCATGCCAGAGTTAGGATGGAATTTGAGTTCCTTCTGCTACATGAGCTCCTGTCCATCTGATGATTTAATTTTTACTGACAAATCCTTTGGAGGCTGACCATACTTGAGTTTATTGTTCAGCTCTGAAACCTCTTTCCTTGAGTGTTTTCCACTGTCCTAGAAGTCCTGTCTACTTGCCACAAAAAAATATTTTTACAGGTAAAATTAAAATTAGACTGCCATATCCTGATGTCTTCCAAAAACAAATTTGGAAAAATTGGAATGAATCACCTAAGTGACCATTTTCTTTTTTCTATTGTCATAATCTGATAATGGCTTGGCATCCGACAGTATGTGAGTTAGTGGTGATAACTTACTTGTAGTTAGCAATGACTTAAGTTGTAAATGCAACATCAACACAGCTAGAACTGTTCAGCATATTTTACTTACAGACCCATGCCACTTTAATAACCTGTTCTTGGTTAGATTATGAGGCTAACTGGTAAAGGAGCTTGGACAATTTTGCACAGTCATGCCTGGGCTACATTTATCACTAGTCATAAATAACAAATAAAAGAGTGTCAGAGGGAGGAAGAAAGTTACAAGGAAGTTTTCCACCCACAGAGATGTCAAGGTCAACTAACTTGGTAAAGTATATTCTCAAATTAAAAATTAAGTAACTCTTACAAGTACTGTTGCTGCAATCTTTTTCACCTGTTCTGTTATCAGAGTGAGGTTTTATTCCCCACTGAAGTATAAATAGTTTTACAGTAATAGTCTATGACTGCAGGGAATGACATTAGTGAGTTAAATCCATAGAGATCAGAACCCAGAATACGATGGCTTACTTCGGTGGGGAGCATTGTGCATTCAAAATATAAAATAAAAAGCCAAAAATCTGAAAGCTGTAGATGTTGTGAAATAGTTTTGAAACAAAATTATCAGTGAGAGGAAATTTTCAGTGAAAAAGGACTTGGGAATCTAAAAAGGAGCAGAGCCTACTATTCTTCAGACTCATGAGATTTTCATTGATCGCTGCTGAATCTAAATTTTGAGGTACACTAAGAATTTGAGTAGGTGAAGCAAAATAATGTCAAGTAAAATAATGTTGTGCTGGCATCACCCAGTGTTTCTAACTTCTACAGGTCTTGAAATATCACGTCCTTGTTGCTCAGTTTTGTCTGCATTATGATGTATGTTATGATGTATCTGTGTGTGATACAATTTTGTGATTCAATGTTTAAGTTACTGTATAAAGTCATGTTTGATGAAGGAAAAATAAAATCATGGTACGCTTCTATACGCTTCTATAAGACTAGCAGGGTCTTCCTTGGACCCTGTAGTGCTGTCCTGAAAAAGAGTGCCTGTGGAGTTCCCTCTAATATCAGCTCTGCCTAATTAAGCAAACTAAGTCTCAACTTGTCTGTGCCTGTCAGTCTGTTCTTCTCAGTCTGTGTAAAACAACAGTAAAACCAAATTCTTTTCAGTAGCTGTTATTTAAATTTTCTGATATGTATGTGTGTACAGGTTTCTTTCTTTCTATAGTAGCATCCATGTTCTGCAGAGAAAGGGTTTGGAAGTGCTATTTCATTGTGTTCAGAGTGTACTAATACAACTTTTGATACTTATTGAGCTAATGAGAGAAGAATCTGCCATGTTTGACAGCAGGAACATGACGTGACTGCAAGGTGGAGGCTGTAGCTGCTTACAGTACTAACAGTGTTCATCATTACTAAAAATGCAGTAAATAGAAAAGCAAAGGCCTATTCTGTCTTTAAAAAGAGGATTTTCTGTACTCATCCTGTTTTAAGTATTTGCAGCTCCCCCATATTATCTAAAAGAGATTCTATTTTTATTTTCTATTGAGATTTGTGATTGGATATGTTTTCTTCTGAGCGACCAAGATTCTGAACTCATTAGGTACATTGATGTATGGAAAAGGCTGAAAAAAACGTGCATGTCATGAAAGTGTCTGTGCTGGATCAGAGAGATGTGTTCTGGCCTGGAAGTTTTAATGTAAATGATTTAGAATTAGAAATTGTTCATATTTCAGGCAACTCAAGAAAGAAAGCTGGTGCTTGCTCACCTAGGCTATTGATACTGCAGCCGTTGCAGTAGAAATAGCTTACCTGGAGCAGAAAAGCCCCGTGTTTCTTTTCCAGGTACCTATTACTTTTCCGGGTGGAAGACTTGTTTGTACTTTGAAGTCTCATGAAAAATCATGTACATGGATGTTCTGAGACAAAATTTTGCTTTCAGTGTAAAATGAGTTTTTCTTTCTTTACCTCTTCATCTCTCTAGTTAAAATCTCATTTTTCTGGGTTTTGAACTGAGATCTTCTGTTGAAAGAAGCAGGTTCCAATGTTCATCTTGTTCCTACGTTCTTTTTGCTTCTTTACAAGCTGAAAACATACTGGGTCAAAAGGGGATATAAAACATAAAACCTTGTGATTACTTAGAGAAGAAGAATGATGGATTTTCAGTGGCAACCTTACCAGTGAACTTCTGACTGCCACAAGTAACCATTCTCCTTTTTGTCAGGCCTGGCTATTCAATCACATCTCTGTACCCTGGGTTTGGTGGAGTGCTACCTGAAAAGTATTTCCTTAGAGGATGGTTTATGTACATAACAGTTAAGATCTTTTTACAGTCCAGTGTGCCTCTGTCATGTTCCTTACAGTGGAAGTTCTTCCATGTGACGTTTGTGCAAAGAGGGATCTAATAATTCTCACAAGTAGCTGTAGTAAAATCTTGATTGTTTTTCAGGTAGGATTTTATTAGTGTTTTCCTCACAGCTCTTTGAAAGATCACTTTTGATGTGAGTAAGGGTCTCTTGTTTGTTTTCATGGCTCCCAAAAGAATGCCAGGTAATTTGTAGGGTGGGAAAAAAGACACATTCATTGCCCCACAGACTGTACAGTCTCATAAGCTGGTGCCATGTTTCCACCTGACTTGTTAGCACATTTTAATAGTGAGCTGTGTGACAGGGAGCTTAGCTTTATGTGAAGGTTGTAGGATATATTAAAGACTGTGCAATAATCAATTCTGTCCAGATTATTCCTTTTAAAGGTCATAGTGATATAAATCAAATTTTTGTAGAAGTTATTTGCATAGTGTTTGGACATTTGGATGGCTGGTAAATCTCTTTGTGAGTCTTCCATAAGAACAGATTTTGTCTCTGCACTTTCATATATTTTGTGATTAAAAAAAAATAAATAACCACTTTCTTTTCTGGACCCATCTTCCTGCAGCAGAACTGAGGTGTTTTGCCTACCCTAAATGCCCCAACCACCCCTCATTTATCATTAATACTACTTGGAATTTGAGGGGTTATGAATATTTTTACATCTTTTTTTTGGACTGAAGATTACCATGAAAGACCTGGGAGAAGATGTTCTCTGAAGGCATCATTAAATGCGAGTCAGAAGTGACCATAAATCTCAAGCCTTACTTTCTCACAGCACAGTGAAACTGTATTCTGCAATGAGGACAGCGTTAGTCTAGTTTCATTAAACTATCTTTTTTGTTTTACTTCTAAAACCCACACAGAATTTCTAGGTGCAGATTTTTGTTGATCTAAATGCATAGAAGCTTACTCTGATTCATAATAATTTTTGACAATGCTTTTTGGTTTTGTATTCTCTGGGTGGTCTGAGCTCATGCTTAATTTAAGCACAATCTTTTTCAGGCAGTCTGTCACAGGACCTCCTTCTCTGCGTTTTGTGTCTCAGGGATGGAAGAATATGTTTTAGCTGTTGATTTTCTTGCTTTCCTAGTTCTTGCTACTGTGATCTTCTGTAGGCAGCCTAGCTACAGCAGCTTGTGCTTCTAGGTCCTCCCAGCTTTCTTGCTGAAAACTGAATTCTAGATCTGTTTTCCAGCTGTCTGTTTCTGTGGAGAGTGCATGTTAACTCCTTCTGCTTAAAACAAAAAATCAGAACAGAAGCTCCACATCATTCTCAAGAGCAAGAGATGACAAATACTGGGGAGGGATGGAGGGAAGAGATCAGAGATAATCTACAAAATGATGGATTCAGTGTCACTTATGGGATGAATGCCAAATTGTGTTGATACAGGATCATGAAATACTTGCTCAGTGATGATCAAGGACTATTGTACCAAAAGCAATGCTTCTTGTCCAAGTTACCTATTAATTCCTTACATGAGTTCTGCACAGTTGTGGAAAGCCCTTTACATGTTTACTGATTATCACTGTATCTG